TATTTTAATTGCTTCTTTGTGTTAGCATAACGAGTTCGAGGACGGCTTCCATTGCGGGCGTTTGTACAGATGGTAGTAACTTTCAAAGACTCCATCGAGTGCGTACTTTCATGACTCGCGCTACGTAGACAATTCAAGTACGTTACGCTGGCCTGGATGGGCTGGATTGTGTTCCAGGAACTATGTTAATATTAGGCTAAAAAAACCGTATTATTCTACACATTGACTCCTCATACATAGCTAATGTTTGAAGTTTAGTCCGAAGTTTATGAGGCAAAGCATGGATTAACACGGTTTTTTAACCTAGTACTCTATCCTTGAACAATGATGAGTCGACCCGTGCGGGATATCACTGGATACTGATTTGTTCTGAAGTGTAAGCAAAGGTTGAGGCATGATTAATTCAAGTGTGAGTCAAATAATAACTGTTGGCTTTGAACTTGTCGCGCATCTCGCTATGACCCATTTATTGTTTAGTTCTCAGTATTTCTTCTTTTTTGAATTTCCTTCTTTGTGGGGGCCGATGAACAAAAACCGCTTCACTGTTATCCACATCTATCACGCCTGTAATTTCTACAATTCTCCACCGTTGTCACTAATGGATTGTACTATGGTAGTTACCCTCTTCAGCTTTCGAACCTCTCACATTCCACACTTTTGTGCATTTGTGAGATTGGAGCACGACTGCATTGCGTGATAATAATTTAGGATTTTGAACGTTCGTCTCAACATATCAGAAAATTGCTATCATCTTCATTGATGTGTGATGTCACTTTATTTCCAACAATATCTTAAACTGTTATTTTAACGTCACAGACTAAACTCTCTATTCATGTGAGCTTTGTGCAGCTATTCTCCACGTGTTATGCTCATTGAAAGGCTCATTGAAACACTGGGCTTGTGAGATGCATGTTTAGTTTTCATTGCGATGGAAATGTAAGAATCGTTTTTTTTTCTGTTACGGTTGTGGAGGCGTTTGGCCAACTATATCACAGTTGCCACAAGAGTGTCTGATGCAAGCAATACCTGGATCATGAGGCGGCTTTGAACCCTCTTTTACCTTTTCCGGAGACTCACAGTACCATCGTGGACCTCCCTAGCATTTTCCCCCGCTCTGTTTTGATCTATGTTAGAATTAAAATCAACTTTTTCAGGCTCTAAAGATGATGTAATAAGCTAAATTGTTAGCGACTGAGAATAGATGTTGTAATAATAATCTTTTGTGTGCTTACCAGGAGGACAATAGATTGTGCGCAGTTTCGAAGTACTTTTGATGTTTTTAGATCACAAGGATGCAAAAAAGCGTCAAGAGCTTCGACGAATTAATTTTTAATGAGTAAAGTAAAGCAAAGATCACCTTAAGCTTATTTCCTACTTGAAGTTCAAAGTAACGTTCTGAAGGCGGAATTTCTCCTGGATCAATCAAACAGACGACGATAGAAATTTTCAACTGCCAAATCATTCGATACCATTCAATAAGAGTGTTTTGCCATGGGTGCCTTAATATCAGCCTTGGTCATTGACTATTTCTCGAAGTTTCATTTCTTTTCTCACTCATTTAACATATCAGATACGTTCAACAATTTGTGAAGTTGTGAAAAAATTCAAAGACGTTGGTTTCGCTTTCTCAGACGGCGACTGGTCGGCGAACTTTATAAGCACGTTGCTTTCACTTAAAAGTTGGTGAACAAAGGCAATTCGTAGGCTTATTTTCAAACATTTCGGCGAAAAATACCCTTAACGTCTCTCTGCTTGGTGAAAAAATCGAGCTCTCGGTGTTGGCCAATCTCCGAGGGATGCGCCATTCATTTGACTTCACTCACAGCATTGTAGAGGATTGAATGCATATCTGGCCTATACAACAGCAACCTGATCCCTACGAATATACCAAGTTAGTGCAGCAGTCTTCCCAGGCAATGGCACTGGCCCATCGACTTCGGAGGGATGGAAGATTTGGTGAGCGTCGAGTGCTGGATTGAACCCTCAATAACGTGTGTATCGCAGCGCACTTTTAAGCACTGCGCCACATCCGTCTTTAGTGCTTGTGATTGTCATGTTATTAGATAAGAAAAAAAGCGAGATGGATTTTAGTCTTCACATGCAAATTTTAAAGCAATCGAAGATCTATTGGTTAGCTATTCCCGATTGTTCGAGTGTTGGAAATTCGATTGAGGATATTCTGAACAACAAAATGGTACCTGAGCTAAGACAAAATTCCCTTGTGGCGAGTTTATTATATTGGCGTTGATGTAGGTATTCTCGTGATCGAGTTTTTCCTCCTTTTTATTGTTTGCTTCAACTCCACAGCATTCTCATCATAACAGACCACAGACCTACAGCGATTTTTCTGAAAACTAAGGTAATACGAAAATCTTTGATAACTATTGTACATGAAAAGCGGCCGTATTAACAATTGAATAGGTATGTAAAACATGAGTTTTAACTTACAGAAGAGAACTGATTGTATTGTGTGATATGTTTTTCTGTTTTCATTAACATATCGTGTTCAGCATACATCTCAAAATATTTCTTCATAAGAAAACAATCATTCAGAGAGGTGATAAGAAGAAATTTGTTAGTTCTAAAAATCGCTTGCTCATTCAAATTGATGCAGTCCATACAAATTACACACAACAATTGACTAAAATGCGAGACTTATCGAAGGTAAAAAGTTCGTGAGCTCGCGTAGGCACGGTAGCGCTCTATACACACGTGTTTGTTGGTTCGATCTCGTACTTAAGGCTGATTGAACGTTTCATGTCGTAGAAGTCGTTGGAATGGAAAAAAAAACTTGTATTGCAGGATTTCAGCACTTATTTTGTAGATCGGTGGACAGCACAAGTTATTGTATAGATTTGATGAGCATTCAGTCACCTGTAATGATGCGAAGTAGGGATTTCCTTTGAGTTGACCAACGCCTAACCCCTTCATCCCCCAAAGAAGTTCCCACTTCATTATTTTATATCAAAATTTGATTTCATCATTAGCTTTTCTTATGTATGCAACTCGTCGACGCGCTCTAGGTAGAGCTGAAAAAATATCCCATCATCCTACGATCAACATCGCAGCTAAATTACATCAAATTTGGAGTTAAAGAAGAAGCAAGCAAGGAGGAGCTACCCAACAGAGTCACTATCTGTTGGAAAAACAAGCGGAATGCTAAGGAAATACTTTATACTGGGATAGATGGAAAAAAGTGGTAGATTCATTGCAAAATATCTGAATAACAGCTAAATTAAAGGGCGAGTTATTTTAATAATCCTTTTAATAGGTTATAGTATGTGAGATTTAGTAAACCTACGTGAGACTGTCCACGATAGGAGTGCGTTCTGATAAAATCTGCTAATCTGTCAGCATTAACTTGAGCTTGAGCGCTGACAGGTTGAGATGTTCTTCTCGACCGACCGGCCGCTATGAGTGACATTGCCTTCTGTTTAGGTCTTAATGCAATTCAGAGTTCTAATAAGTATGATAACGTATAAAAACTGTTTGTGATAAGAGGTAAATTGAGTTATGAACAGCCACCAGAAAATAATTTGGTCTATCTTTGTCTTATTTCGCAACGCATAAAAAAAATCTGGCACTGCTCTCTGTAATTCATAGATTTTGGCACTCAGATCGAAATCGCTTACTATTTGAATTATATGTATATATATATATATATATATATGTATATATAGAGCGCATGTGGCGCAGTGGTTAGAGGTGCCCTGCGTCGCACACGAGGTCAATGGTTCGATCTCGCGCTCATGGCCCACCAAGCCATCCATCCCTCCGGGGTCGGTAAATTGGTACCAGGCAGGTCTCAGACTTGTCTGGGAGGATGAGCAGCACTGACTCGGTTCAGCGGGAGGCCACCGCGAGTCATTGTAAAGGCCAGATATGCATTCAATCACCTCAAACGAAGTTAGAAATTGAAGTCGAATGCATGGCGCATCCCTAAGGGATTGATCAACGCCGAGAGCTTTATCCTTTTATATATATATATATATATATATATATATATATATATATATATGTAAGAACGAAGCATATGCTATAATAGCATATAGAAGTATGCATATGCTGAATGGTAGTCATCGTTTCCTTCCCGGATGGTGAAGCTCTAAGCATGAACTCCTTAAGAGGTGATGACATTTGAATTTACAAATTTCGATTTATTCCGTAGCATATTTTGAGCCTCTCATGAGATCCTTTATGGTACTCATATAGTGCAAGGCACGTGTTTCGGTCTCAAATCCTCATCAGTTGCACGGTGCCAAAAGTTTCAGCAGCCAATCCTTTGTAGAAGGACGCACCACATGAAGGAATCGACCACGAACAACCTACACTGGCGTAAGGTAAAATGGCCACCTGTTGGGCAGTGTTTTCAAGTCGACTGCTTGTATCTGGCAACATTTACACGTAATACGTTTATTTTCGACTTTTTTGAGACTTCGCTTGAAGCGTTACAATCAGATAACATATTTTGAGCCCTTATAAGGTTGTTATGGCACTTATGTATTACATGGCACATGTTTCGGTCTTACATGCACGCTGCCTTTCGTTTTTACCTAATAGATTCAGCGATCACATCAGAGCTTAATTTATTGAAGTATTTCAATCTTTTATGTAAATAGTAGGTGCTCATACTATTTCTGTATCTTCGTGCTTATTTGTGAACGCATTCATACTTTCCAAATCACTGAGGACTTTTTCGCAGTACAATGGTGATATTCATCGTGACGACAGAGTTACTTTTTATAGTTCAAGATATGGTATACCGTAAATTTCACAGCAAAAACAAGGCAGCAATAACTTAGAGACGACATCTGTTAACATAGTCAGCTGAGGCAGATTTTTTCTATCGCAGACAGCCTCGTTCGGAACAGTGGATCGTTTAGGAGTTCACTACGGTTGACTACCGCTACCTATAGTTATCATTCATAACGTAAAGCCTGAAATCCTATAGTTTTTCGTAAGTATGTCATATATACCAAAAAGAATTCTTTTTATTTAAGGAGTCGGTAGTGCAACGGGTTAGAGCACGCGCTCCTGAATAGAGTGAGATGTGGGTTTGAGTACCGCCTGATGCGAAAAGGTTTGCACATCACTGGATATATCTGTAACATCACACCACCGGTAAAAGAAGTTGAATAAAAGAATTTTCTCTGATTATCCAATACCAGTATCTGTCAGCGTGAATAGGTTTATCGACCACCTAGGCCAATACCGTTGACGATTGGTTGCTGACGAATAGATGCGATGTAACGTAAAAGGAGCGGTGGCAAAGCAGGCGCTGGTAGCGCAACTAGTTATAGCACGCGCCTCTGGATTGTGTGAACTGTGAGCTCGAGTCCCGCCTGGCGCGGAATTGCAAATTACTCAACATTATCGGGTATATCTCGAATAAATTCCAAGTCTTTGAATCAACTGTCTTCTCTAAGTTTCTCTCGTACCAATGAAAAGGCGATTAAAGCAGGTATCGGGAATTCACTGTGTGCATAGCAACCTCTCAGTCATAATCATGTATGATGAGTGATCCTTATTTGGTCAGTGAAGCTTCTCGAGATAAGTAGTCAGATATCATTGTATAGAGCAGTTTCATTCGTTCCTAGAAATTAAATTACGCTGATCACCAGCAACGTGGTTAATACTAGGCTATATCTAAGAGTTTTTGATCCGGAAGCTATTATCTAGGTTATTATCATGTTAATTAGTAACTTAATTGTTGCTCCAAAATTCCAATATTTTTACTGCTTTTTTCCGCAGTGTTATGATGTTACTTATATACTTAAGAGAATTGAGTGGTGAGCAAAAGCACGGCTTCAGACAGGAATCGAGACCGCGTATCATCCTATCTGGGGTCGCGTGCTCTACCACTACACCAGCGAGGCACACTTCCCCGAGCACTCATTCTTCAACATCTCTATGTTAGCTATCAGCCACCAACCTTCAACGAGTTTGGTCGAATATGCGATTTCGTTTATAAATCCAGTTGAGCTGACAGCCACTTTTAGATATAATACTCCCAAATTCTAGTATTTCTAGCGCTTTTTTCGCGGTCACATGATGTTACTTATTATTAGTACTTAACACATAAAATTTACTTAATTATTGCTGTCACTACATCGAATGGTTCACACTGTACGGGTACCAGTAGTCTTGCGTTATTCGTTTCATTAGTTTCATCATCCACGATGGTCTCCCATCTTTTCTGTGCCTGAGTTCGGCTGCTAATTGAGGATTTTTTGCCTTCGTCACGAATGTCGTTGAATACTGGTTGACTTGTCTGTTCTGAAAGCCAGTGACAACCGTGCTGGGGAGTTTCCATATGCGTTAAAAGGTTCACGTTCCAAAACAAGTCTGGTAGCAAATTCGAGAACTCAGAGAGGTGAGAGGTTCGGTGAACCAAATTTGAATCGAGCCAGAGTCTGGGTCAAGTAGGCCGTTTACGAAATTCAGGACACCGTTACCAATGAGCTACACGCTTTTGATGAATACTAATTGATTGAAAACGTCACTGCTACGTTTGTAGGGAATACAGTGAGCACCCTGTGCCCTCAGTTTTATTTTTATCATTCAATTTTGTCCGTTTTCAAACCTTGCTTAAATTACAACACATCCTCCATTCGGTCCATTAGTCAACATCGGACAAGGTCTCCCTTGATAATGTGGAAAATTCAGAATGCTCTTGAAAAAACTCTTAGCAGTTGGCAATAAAAGCTGTAAAGTGTTTTTGCATAAGAAACTACCGCCCCTTTTCTGGCTTTCAGAACATTTTGTTAGTACAAATCAATTAACTTGATATCAAAGCTCCGATGTCACTCTGCGAATTTACGTCAGCGCAAAGCGAATTACTTTTGAGAAACTACTTTTATAGTGTTGCTTCTTCTGACTTTTATAGAAGTACAGCTTCCGCTTAGGAACATGGCAGCAGCGTAGCAGAAACATATCATGTGTTACGAAAAGACAAGTGACATCAACCACCAGCACAATTCTTCTTTCATTTCGTATTTCCATTGACAAGATTACACTAACAATCACATCACACTAGACACTATCAAACGAGTCAGTTGTAAATCTGAGCAAGTAAATTCTTTCATTAATTACTACCTACAACTTACAGCATATCAATAGTTGAGCTATTCTTTTTAATTTCTGTATGATGGGCTGTATTATTGTATATTATTGGCTTTCTGTAGTATGCATATCTTATATCATATCATATATCTCATCTTATATCATATCTTATATATATATATATATATATATATATATATATATATACATATATCATGAATCATTGGCTTTCTGCATCATGTATATCTTATATTTTCTGGCCTTTTCTTAAGTAAAAGTTGTCTGACTAGAGTTTTCCATAGAAAGAAGATTTTCTCCAGTGCGTGTAAAATGTTATCAATATCATCTGTTGCTCTTTGCATTCGAACATTTAATGGAGCTTATAGTGTGCGTTTGCAGAGAGCTACAAGACATATCGCATTTTAGTTTTGTGAATAAAATGCCAAACTAATGCAATTATAATTTCCTTCATTCGCACATACAGAAATCAGTTATTGATTAGAGTCATTTTTGGGTGCTTTAAAGACTATCTCTACTCTCTGCCTCAGAAGCTTTACGTCTAACTATTTCACAAACTGCAAGATGTATTCTGACACCCACCTGATGAACTTATTCTGCTTGCGGCTGGAAAACATTCTATAACCTGCAGAGTAACATCTGTTCACTTGCAAGTACATCCGCTGTGCAGCAACTCTTTAGCATCTGCCACCGTAGGGTTTATGAAAATCGCTGTTTATTTGCGAAAGCATTCATGTCCTTCTCTTATCTATCTAGCGCCTATCACCTACTTGATCACTCCTAAGTGTAGATGATCACCGCACCGCATTATTGTTGATCTGTGGGTACTATTTGATGTTCACATAACCGTGGAAAATTAACATGTGCATGAGAATTCCAGCGATTTCCATGAACATTTCGTTTAATCCTGAAGTCTCTACGCAGAGATCTTCTTAGTCATTAGTGAACGTTGACAACTATTTTTTTTTCTTTGTTCGATAAATCTATGTGATTGTCTTTGACTTTTCGAATCTGAATATAGATCCGAACATCGATTTTTGCCTCCTCTTCTCACTGAAAAGGAGGGAGTGGATGTCTGTAGTATTAAAAAATAATCTCTTTGGGTGCTTTCTATTACTCATGAGAGAAAGTTGCCGAAGCGTGTAAACTGGAAGGTACTTTATCGCCACATGATTTAGAATTTTCGACAGTCGAAGAAAAGCCTCGAGAATGGTTAACTGATCTGAGCAATTCAACTAGCAGCATCCGTAGAATATTACTGATATACTTGAGTGGTATACCCATTCTAAGGCTGTCTGGAAAGTCTTTCCGACAATGAGTACATAGAGTAGATGAGAGATGATCAGAACGAAAAATCAACGCCTGAGAGAGCTTATTCAGCCACAGAAAAAAGAAAGACCGACGATAAGCCGATGTGACGATCTGGAAACACTAATAAAGCTATTTTCGAGCACAAAGAAATGAATAATTAAAGGGAGCACTGGCAAAGCAATCTCAATAATATGCGGTGTTCCTTCACTACCTGCTAATGAGATTAATAAGACAATTGATGACAGATGATCAATCCGTGAAAATTATATTCATTCGAAAAAATCTTAATAGAAGAGAGATTTTCGCTTGGCATATACAACTTCAAAACAACCTTTTGTTGTCTATTTTTCTGCTTAGAAGTAGATGAATTCTTCGTATAAATTTTTACAAAAAAGTCTCAACTTTTGCATGGACTCAGAAGTATGTCGCTCGGATCAATTAATTCACTATTCCACGCTAACCAGTAGGTATACAATAGCGAGACCGTCTACTCAGATCGCCTATACTATTATTTTGTTCTGCATTGTCACGAACAATCAATTGTATAAATTGAAGTAAATTTAAAGTCCGACTTCCACCAAACCTCGGTATGGATAATCCAAGCTATCATACTAATTATTCTTCTATAATAAAGCTTACACGAAATTATCTTCAAAAGCGATGGCTGACATCTTGGCAAATACGTTTTCCCCTTAGCCTAGATGTACTGTACCACATCATATTCAGCTATTCAGCTAACATTTCAAATGTCTAGTGAAAATCTATTGCAAAAATCAAGCCAAATGCTCAGGTAGCGAAGAAGAACTCACCGCTAAACTTTTCCATATGGGAAAGCTTACAGGTGTGTTATCACGCACACTACGATTCATATTTCTCTCAAATTAAAACATAAACTTGAGGTAAGTTTAATTTTCCTTAGTAGTTTCATAATTCCAGACATTCTCCCCCAGTTATAACATTCTCTTGCCTTTAATCACGTGTATCAATTAGTCGACATGAGTAATTCTTTTTGAACGCCGACGAATTTAATCATTGCTATCATTTTCAATATCCTGGAAAACGCTGTTCGATCTACAATTATTAACTGCCTAAATATTTTTAAACACGGTTTTCTGGTTCTTAAGCTGTAGTCAACGATATTGTCTCCAACTACCGCTTCGCATCAAGAACTCAAGCACGTCGACCACGTTCATATTCGTTGGCCATGTGGTGGTCTATGTTGGTGATGGTGTTCGCAGTTGTCACACGGTTATCGTTGGCAGCACTTGACACCGCTGCCGTCATCTCCATTCAGAATGAACTCACTAAACATGCCACGGAATTGGAAATGCTTGTCGACGTAGGTGATGTTTTGATTAACACTGAGTTTTTTTTCTTTGAATCTACGCCGTTGAGAGCGTAGTTGTATTATAGTAGTACAAAAAATAGTCAATAAAAATGAGGAAAGTGAGAATTTAACTTTTTATTACGATTTCTATATATGTCTCCAACTATGGTGCATATATATGTACGCGCTAGGTGATACTCGTCAAAACGGAACAATTTTTTTTTCAGAAGCTTTCTAGAATTTTTTTTTCACGAGGGAACGTAATTCAAAGAGATATTTGTTTTCGCTGAGAGATATTCAACAACTTAGTAGAAATTTTAAAGACAAACTTTAGCTAAACCTGCCCACAAAAATGAT